GGGCCGCGTGCGCCGCGCTGGAGCAGCCCCGGCAGGAAGCCAAAAGCCAAGTAAGGCACCGGCTCTGCAGCCGTGCGCTGACCTAGTTGACCACGCCCGCCGGAGGTACACGAATTCGCTTCTGCACAGTTTTGCAAGGCGCTCGTACTGAGTACTGGCTCTTGGCCCTTTAAGACGTCGTAGGCTCTTAGTCCATGTAGTCGCCGGCCGTCATGGGGATGGAGGCTCCGCCGTCCATGCTCTCATCCGGCACTCGCTGGCCTTGGCCATGGCCCCGCTTCTTCTCCCAGCCACGGCGAGCCGGCGGCTTCCGCTTGTGGCCCAAGCTGAGGATGCAAGGTGGGCAGGAGAAGACGGCCACGGGCAAGTCCGGGTTGAAGGCGACCTTCAGCACCTCGCACTCCAGGGTACGAATGGCAACGCTGGTCAGGGCAACGGGCTCCCCAGAATCGAGCATCACCAGGTCGCCCTCCGCCAATTTTCCGGCCGGGAGGTAGAGGTTCTTCCCTGACTCGCCCGTTGCATCGGCAACCTGCACGAGGTGGTCCGGGGTCACCCGCAGGTTGGCAGCTCCGGCTTGCAAGTCGACGACCTCGGTGGCCCGGCAGAGTTGGGGGTTGGCGGCCACCTCCAGAATCGTCGCATCATCTCCGGCCACCACCTGCGAGCCTTTCTTAAGGTCCCGGCCCATGAGGAAGAAGTCGGTGCTGCAGCTGCGGGTCTTGAAGATGGCATCTGGCATGAAGCAGTGAGGTTTCACAGAGAACCAGGACGAGTGGCTCAGAACCGAGGAGGCGTCGTCATCATCGACCAGGGTGTAACCCAACCGATCAGTGAGGCCTGACTCATGGCTGCTGGAGGCTTCTTCGGGGTCGCGGCAGACGTGGGTGGCACGAGCTCCGCGCCCACTTCCGATGCACTTTGCTTGCTTGGTCACCTCGGCAAGCTGGCGCTCCAGCTGACGGCACCGCTCCTGGCACGCGCCCTTCTCTACCAGCATCTGCTCCAGCTTGGCCTCTGCTTTCGCCAGATGCTGCGCAAGCAGCTGACCACGTTCCTTGAGAGCTGCATTCTCCAGCAGGACCTGCAAATCAGCCTTGCTTCCGGAAGCAGCCTCCGCCGCAGCCAGGCGGCTTGCAAGCTGCTCGCAATGGTCCTTGTGCTGGCCACACTCGTCCTGCAACCTTTGGAGATCGGTCTGCGTTGCTGATGCCTCGGCCTCCGATGCCTCCAAGCGACGCTCAAGCTGCTCGCACTGCTCCTTCTGCGCGGCACCCTCGCCTTGCGCTACCTGGAGCTCACGTGCTTTTGTCGTCAATGACGCATCCGCTGCCACCAGGCGCTCCGTGAGCTGATCACGCTGCTGCCTCGCGGCTTGAACCTCCCGCTGCTTCTCTGCAGCTGAAGCCTGCGCTGCCTCCAAGCTGGCGCTCAGATGCTCGTTCTGCAACTTGCGTTGGGCAACCTCCTCCTTCGCCGCACAGAGCTCGGCTTCAGCAGCCTTCAGGCGCTCGGCGAGCTGCCTTCGCTCTTCCTGGCCCTTCTCCTCCACTTTCTGCCGCTTCCGCGCCGTCTCCTCGGCCTCCGCCTCGGCCGCTGCCAGCCGCCCAGCGAGCTCCGAGCAGCGAGCGCGGAGAGGAGCCTCCCACCACTCCGGCGGAGGCGGCCGACTCACAGCCCTTCGCTCCAGCCCCGCCTCCGAGAAGGAGTGGACGTGGAACCGGCTCACCTCGCTCCACGCGTGCTGGAAGAGCAGCTCGGCGAGCCGCTCCCGGGAGCGGTCCGCCTTCCCGCTCGGGCAGAGCTCCTCCACGCGGGCGCGCCAGGCCGCCGCCTCCGCGGGCCGCAAGGCCCAGAGCTCCGCAAGCCGCGCCGCCAGCGCCTCTTGGGCGCGCTGCACATCGGCACGAGCAGGGCCGTACCACCCCGCCAAGTGCGCGAAGGCGTCGAGGACGGTGTCCAGGGGCCAGCCGGCCGGGACCGCGGTTAGCTCGCAGAGACGAGGCATGGCGATCTGGAGAGCGAAAAAGGAGTGCCTTCTAAGTGAGGGGGGGGAGCGGGCGGGCTCTCTCCTGGAAACTCCTGTCTCCGAGCCGGGCTCGCGCACGCGCTCTCGCGCACAAAGAAAAGCGAAGCCCTCATGCAAAAGATGCCCTCCACGGCCCTGAGACTGCAAAACCCTTCCAGGCCCAAGGGGCACAGAGTGGCACAGAGTGGCACAGAGCAAGGCAGGCGTTTCGACGGTTCAAAAAAAAGTTCGAGAGCACGGTCATGCCGCACGCCTGGGCACGCGACTCCGCGGCAGCTTCCACGCTATAGCTCTGCGGACGATCCTGAAGGCTTCGGCAAAGTTTCCATGGGCTGAGTGGCTCAAGGTGAGGGCTGACTCTCTCGAGCAGCCTGCGCGCCCTTAAAGGAAAGGCTGCTGTGGGGCTGGGCTCCCTGCGGGGTCTGTTTGCGGCCGGGGTGGGGGCGGCTCGAGCCCTTTAGCCTGTTACATAATCCACTGCCTGCCCCACCCACATCGTACTGGCAGCCCTGAAACCCCGAGACCTCGTACTGAAAGCTGCATACACATGCAGCGCCCCGTCAAGCCCCGTTTAGGAACACATGCATCGGACCACTCTGTTTGCAAACCATTGTTGAAGGGGGGCGCACCTGGAACTCTTTCGGGATTCCTAAATTGAACTAAATTGCTTTTCGCAACCTTCAGGCCCGGGGCTCCCGACCTAACAACTTTGTGGGACGGCAAGGTCGGGCCCGCGGCTTAGCCCCAAAGCCTCAGTTTGTTCCGAAAAACCCCTCAAATCCCAGGTCGGCCGGGCCAAGTGAAAGGGCCCCTCAGGACGCCAGTGAAAACCTCCGAAAACCTCCCCCACTCAACTCTCCTCGGCTGCAGAAGATGGAGATCGCCAACGCCTCCCTCGAAGTCCACAACGCCACGGCCAGTGGAGATGGAAGCCACCAGCTTAAGCCGGGAACCTTTTCCGAAAAAGGGGGTCGCCAGCTAACAACTCGCAACTAACCGAACTAAAAACAAACACAGAGGGAGAGAGAGAGAGAGAGAGACAAATATTGACAAGATTACTGCCACCTCTATTTGTTTTCTACCATGCGAGATCCCTTGAGGGGATCCCGTGGCTTGAGATGAACACTCTGCTAGCCCCCTGCTGGCTGGAGAGAGGCTCTAGACAGGGTCCCCCCGCCCCCCGCAGCCCGCGCCTCCACATGCACCGAGCCGTCGCGTTGTGGACCTTGAGGGAGGCGCTGCGGTGATCCACGATGGCCAACATGGAACAGAGGGCGCCTCAGCCGAGCCGAGGAGGGAGGGTGAAGGGTTTTCGGAGGTGCTACGAGGTGCTGCTCGGGTCCTGAATGGCCCTTTCTAACGTGGCCCGCCGACCTGGGATTTCAAGCGTCTTGGGAAGAAATATGGCGGCTAGCTCCCAGCAAGCTGTGGGGGACCTAACCTTCACCTCTCCAGAATCCCCGAACTCTTGGAGAAGCCCTCTCAGACTCCTAATTCCCCCCCCCGACTTGTAACCCTAAATCCTAAACCCCCCCCAACTTGTAACCCTAAACCCTAAACCCTAGACCCTAAACCCGAAGCTTAAGGATGGCGCAGGAGGATGGCCAACGTGGGCTCTTGGCATTCAGGTGCGCACAAGGCTGTGGCGGTCAAAGGATGCTCCCTCCCCAAGAACTGCTGAACTCTTGCAGTGCAGAATGCTTGGAGGTTCAGGGTACTTAGTAACCCAGTTGCAACTGTACTTGGACCCCAATTGTAACCCTATTAGGGCACTTAAGGGGCTTGTAAGTGGGTTATAAGTACAGTTATAATTGGGCTACTAAGCACCCCGTAGACCCCAAACAGTGAGAAACCATGTGAGCACAGAAGTCCAAAAGCCGATGACCGTCTCTCGCCTTTCGCGAGCCCGAGCGTTCCAAAAGCGATGATAGTTTACAAGGACCAACGCCCGCGTTCCATGCAAGCAAGCTTTGGGAAAAGAAGTCATTGCTCCACACTCTGCAACCCCTGCGCGTGGGGCATTATCATGTGCCCCCTGGAACCCGGTTATCTTTCTACAACTGTCTTTTTTGTAGGTTCCTGGGGGCGCCTAGGTATGTGTGCATATAAATAAATACATATATATATATATACATATCTGCCTAGCCGGAACATGCACACATAACGTCTCATATCCGTACCTATACATGTTGTGTCATACGTCTACAAAATCCGAAGCCCTCCGAATGACCTGAGAGCTCGGGCGGGCGCGTCGCGTGAGCCTCGGGGCCCTCCATGGTCTTCCGCCAACGTCTGGGGCGGCCTTCCGCTTCCACCCCCCCGCAGCAATGGAAGGTTTAGGGCACCTAGAGGGGTTGCTTAGGTCTTGGGTTGAGGGGTTTAGGGTTTTTGGGGGCTTTATGGGGCTGCAAACAGAGGCCGGGTGTCGGGGGTCTAGATAGGGCCTCTTTAGGGGGGGCTTGCGGGGTAGATGTTCGTCTACTACGCAGAAACTCAGTATAGTATACTATGCAACATAGTCTTACTGTTTCATAGAGGTTTTGAAGGTTTGCCGGCGTTGCGGCTTTGCACCAGTTTTCCGTCGCCTTAAGCCTAAACCCCAAACCCCAGACATTTCACCCTAAGCTACGAAGATGATACAGCCAAACGGTCCACGGTCCGGAACCGAGAATGGGAAGCAGCCGCAACGTATCCACGTGTATAGGGTTTAGGGTTGTCAACTGCTGCTTTTATTGGTTGCTGGTGCGCTCGCGATGCCCTTTGGGCAGAGGATGAACCAGCAAAGGCACCTTGTGAAACATGTATTGACATGAAAATGATGCTGACAAGCACCGAGGGGGATGACATCAAAAGGACACCGTAACGTCACTGGAGCCACTTCCGATCACATCGGCGTTGACACATCCGCCATCACCAGAGTCCTGGCCGGTTAAACCCCAAACCCTAGACCCTAAACCCTGAACCCTAAACCCTAAACCCGAAACAGGCTAAACCCTAAACCCTCCTGCTTCTGGCACCGGCTGCGTGCCCGGGCGGCGATGGCGCCCACCTCTTGGAGCATCCTTTGCCCGTCGAGCCATCCGGCCAGGAGCCCCTTCGATCCGAGCAGAAGCTGCTGCAGAAGGCCGTTGAACCTCTCAATCTCCGGAGCCCCGCCAATCTTCGAAAGGATGGCCTCACAGATTTCTAAAGATTGAGAGAAGTGGGTTTACGATTTTTCGGATTTACGGCATCCATGGCTATCGTGGGTACCAGCTAGGGTTTAGGGCAAAGTTTAGGGTTGAAGGCCTTGCGGTTGGCCGTTCATTCAAACTCGTCTCGGGGGCTGCTTCTTCCTTTCAAGGGTCCGACACTGCCCTGTTTGCAGTCGCTGTGTTTGTTGCGCTCGCCCTTGCCAACATACACCCGGAACTCCCCCTCCTCCAAGCTTCAACAGACTTCAGTTCACCACCATGATAAGCAGACAAGGGGGGGGGGGGGACTACAGCCAAAATGTCTCAACATGGAGGGGGTCGCGGTGCTTTGTTGACACGGAGAAGAGATTTCAAGCGCTGGCACGCTTCTCATGCTTCCGCGGCATTAACGATAAACCGCTCACCACGTATGATCCAATGATTCGCAGCAAGGACACGTCTGAACACAATCAAAAGTGTTGCGGCCGGCAGCACCCTGTTTGCTTACTACGCAGCACGGTAGACTCAAGTGACCACTAATACGAACCGATGTTGCAAAGGCGTGCGCAGATCAATTACCTAGTAATTAGGTGCATAGACAAAACACTGTACAATCTTGGCCTAGATACTCACTCAGAATACCATCACAGCTGCACATGGTGTGATTGACAACAAGCTTTCGTCAGCGCTCCTGACTCAGCTACGTGTCCCATTTGTTAACACGAGTATGCCCCCTTCCTCAGGTCCATTGCCATATCCGAGGACCGTTCTCTTCCCTCACCCCTATGCTTCGATATGCTTGGAAAAAACCCTTACTGAACCCTATACATCCCCAAACCTTAAACCCTAAACATCCCTAATCCTTATACAAACCCTAAACATCCTCAAACCTGAAACCCTAAACATCCCCAACCCCCCTTCCCGGCCTGCTTGTCTTCATGCCTGGAAGCTTGGCAGTCCTCGACTTTCAGAGAGCTGAGGCGATTGGAGTTCTGCTCCAAGACGTGCGGGGAGTGGAGCATCACGTGCTGATCCATGTGGCTGTTGTACGCTTCAACTAGCTCGGCAACGCACCATGCCCTTGAGACAGGGTTGCACTTGAATTTGAAATTTGTGTGAGCCTGTGCTGACATGAGTTGCGGTTGGACAGACAGGGTTGATCTTGATCTGAAAACAACTACCGAGCAAACACCAGATCTCCAAAGCATGTTTAAACACCCTTCATGCTGAACCCGTTTAAAACTTTAAATGTGTTTGGCCCCGTCCCTGCCTTGAGAACAGCTGGAAGTCCCGGTCAATGGCTACAACTTGCAAGAAATCTTGAGAATATCGCACATGCAGGTGATTCATCATCGAGTCAAACTTGTTGAGCTCGCACTCGACTGGGAAGTCGTTGAAATACTTCGGCGTATGACAGCTGCAGGAAGGCAGCACATCGCCAGTAACGGTGTCACGCGCTCCCATAGAGCTGCCGCAGATGCTCGCATGCTGGTTAATGCAGAAAGCACAGATCCAATACTGCAGGTTCTCCTGGCCAGCTGCTGCAAGTTTTTGCCGCAAGTTCCTTGGTAGCCCAGCAACCATATTATAACAAGCGCACCCTCTTTTTTGGGTTGGTTACTTTATAAGGGAACCCAGAGCTGAAACAAAAAGGGTAAAGGGTGCCACTGGGCTACAAAGGTTCTCAACTTCACCGCTGCTCAACTGCTGGGCAACGGTGTCCCAACGCGTCAGGTGCAAAGCATCTGCCACCACAGCAGCAAGGAGGTCACGAAAGCGATTCCCCCAGTGGTGCGTGACCATCCTGATGCTTGGAGGTTTGGGGTTTGGGGTTTAGGGTTTAGGGTTTAGGGTTTAGGGTTTAGGGTTTAGGGTTTAGGGTTTAGGGTTTAGGGTTTAGGGTTTAGGGTAGGGCGCTGCGTAACTATTCTGGCTCTTTTTAAGTTCCTGCTTTGATGTATGCCTTGTTTCTAAACCCAGTCTCTAGCATATCGTAAGGATACACCCGCACCGTCCTTATTTGCCTCTCCGTATAAACTTCTTACTGACCCATAACCCCGCTCCAAATCCTGGCGGATACGCTCAAAACTAGATATTATTAACTAGAAATGTCATTATGACTAATCATAAACCTACAGTTGTCCTCACTACTTGTTGTCCGATTTCCTGCCATGTTCACATTTGTCGCACTCATAAGCTTGCTGCTTTTTTTAATAATGGTAATTGAAACAGTCATTATTCATACTTTTCTCCTTTGACCTGTCGTTACATACTTTCTTCTTCTCTTTCTTGAAAAGTTCTCACCATCGCTTTCAATCATTGAACATCCCCACCATCACTACTATTCCATAAAAGGTGCGAAAAGAATCATTGATTGTTGCTCTTGTTCCATCAATACCTACATACAAAGTAGGCAGCAATTGTTGTTTCATTCGCTATATGCATATTTCTTTAAGTAGCGATGCGAAAGCATAAGCGGTAAAAGAAATCTCATGCATTCTAATTGAATTTTCAAACGTGGAAACTTCTTTTCAATGTTTTACTTGCTTCTTGTCATGTTGGCTTTTCATTGTAATCTTTCCAGTCTTGCTCAACTTGATGTCGTGCCATGTATCTTTTCATTTTTTCTTCATCTTCATGTTTAGCAAAGTCACTATCACAAGAACCACTACCACTGAAGGAGACTTTTTCTTATCGTTTATTACTGCGTCATATCTCCTTTTGGGGTTGGTGGATTTCTTGATTAATGCTTCTCTCATTAATATATGATACCTGCTACAGGTATGGTCTTGAAAAAGTTCTGCTAGGAGCGGAACTTCTGGCAATAGGAGAGAGTTTAACAATTATAGTCGAACTACGAACACGGATGGAGCGCGAACTACCATAGTGTACAGTTGACGCAGGGGGCGAACTACCATCATGTATAGTTGAAGAACATGAACTTACCAGACTGTTTAAAACCATCAATAGGTAAATTAGCTAATCTCCCTGTAGTTTGAACATCTGATGATGGTGATGAAGAAGCTACGGGTGCTTCACTCTTTGTGTTTGGCATGGGTTCATTGCTTCCTCTCGCTCCACTATCATTGCTCGGGCATATCTAGGCAATGTCTAGGCCGAAGTAAGCCCGGACTGGGCTTTATGTTAGGTGTTTCTATGAACCGCCTCACCAAAGTCAGTTCTACCCTAACCCAGAGATTGAAAACAACGAACCAGACATCCGATTCCAAATGTTAAGAATAACTACTACCCTGATAAAGGGAAACGATAAAGGCGCTACAAATACTACAATGAGAATGACAAGTCCAGGGTCAAGACAAGAAACGAAGTAGGGAACCCAACATAGACAAAACGAATAAACCACCCTGATGAAAAAACAGAGTAGAAGACCATGATGAGAATTCCAAAGTCTAGACCCTTGGAATGAAACGAAGAAGACACGACGAATGAGAAAAATAGGATACAGTGATAGAAAAGCAAGAAGGAAACAGACATCGCACCTAAACCTCCATTCCCTAGAGCCATCCTTTCTACCATTTGTTTCAAGGGAGGGTCTAACCCGGAAAATTGAGCAAACAAGTGCTTTTTAACCTGCCATAGGCCGCAGCGACCCCTAAAGCCCATAAAGACTCCAACCACAGGAAGCTGAGAAAACAAGTGCTCCTTCGGCAGAAAGCAAGTATGTCGTAGACCCGTCAAACCTCTCAACGCCAAGACTCCTGGGCGCATGGTCCGTGGTCCAGGCGCTTGCTATGGAGAAGTGGTGTTCTACTGGTCCCACTTCTTCCGTGGCTTGGTACCAGGTGTCAGCCAACGACTTTCCTGTAGGGCCATGGCGAGATGCGGGGATAATCGCATGGCGAACCACGTCGTTGGTCGTGGACCTGCCCGGCTCATAGTGTGGCATGATTCTTGCTGGAGGCCGCGGCGACGTCGGAGTCGAAGGGTCTTGCGTTTCGCAACCTAGTTGAGCGTAGAAGTCCAACAACTGGGCCACGGAAACCCGACGGCTCGCCAGCTCTGCCACCTTCACCTGCCAAGCGCAAGCCTCGCAAAGAGCAGCGCCAACCCGTGTGACGGATTGGGAGCTCTGGGACACGGTCCTCCCCATCTGCTGTCCACAGGTGCACTCGTTCTGCAAGTGGCTCTTTTCGCTACCAGTCGACGCCCCCTTCCGAGGGCAGCAGAACAATTTCGGCCAGGACAGAGAAGTGACCGACAGAAGAGATACACAAACTGCATTGCCCACCGTGTCTGACAAGCCAGCATAAACGTACAGGCTGGTCAAGGAATTCGTGCTGCTGAATGGAAGCAACCCATGGGAGACCAGGAAGAGGGCCATGGAGAAGCCCGCCATCACGAAGCCGAGTTGAGCTGCAAGGATCACTCTCATGGCGTATCGACCCTCGTTCAGGAGCTGCTCTCCCATGACGTCATTTCTTCTGTCCAGCTCCCTTGCATTTCTTAATGCCTGCAAAGGAAGCGAGTATGCCCAACAGACCAGCACCACAAGCCAAAGAAGGCAGAAGGTGGTAAACATGTTCACCGCCAACCTGATCGGCCCATCAAGGAGCGTCCCTACACCCACCAAGACCATGCAGACTTTCATCATGAGCGATAGGCATCTGACGGCTTTCATGCAAGGAAGCTCTTCCCCAAAAGCTTCCTGGAAGGCTACCAGCCTTTGCATCACCAGCTGGATGCACCAAATGTCTCCCAACAAGGATGCGGCAGTTCCAAAGGGGGCGGCCATGTAGGGTATCGGATGGGTGTGTAACGTATCGTCCCTCACACCATCCTGGTCGCGATCCTCACCTGTACATGCCATCGTGAAGCCATCAATGCAGCGAACAGCAGTGGCAAGCCAGTAGTACAACACACACCTCACCGATTGGCGGATGTAAGTAGATGCCGGATGGTCCGCCGCGCACAGAAACACTGCCAAAACTGCCAGGACCCAGGTTGATACAACTCTGACAATGGCTACGACCCAGAGATCATGAAATGCCTGCCCCAGCTCATTCATCATGGATGGGTCGAACTCACTGCAAGGATCGTGCCCCCCATAGATCAGTAATGGAACCATGGTTACAGACAACGTAATGGACCATATGAGAGCCACGCACGCGAGACGCATTGGCAAAGCAAAAGGATAGGCTTGATCCTTCAAAACCCAATAGCCCATGATGTAGAACCAAAGGGCAGCTGCCAGGCTCGCGAAGTAGCCTCCCAGCGTGAAGGACAGCGAGAAGTACATCACGACTGGCAAGACGGCAAGCAACACGCCCGCGGTCCACCGACATCTGCGATCACACCACCACATTGCCAACAACACTTGCACAGGAGGCCCTAAGCCCTAAGCCCTAAACTCCTTCCCCTTTCTCTTTTTGCTTGGGTTTGTCCACATTACCTCGTTTTTGTGTACCGCTAAAAAGAAGGTGCCGTATTAGAATAGGGACCCGAAAAGAAGGGACCCGAATTATGAGAATCCCCCTATTGTGGGAGATGCTGCTCCGAGATGGGCAAACGCCGTTCGAAGGGCCTAGGTGGAACAACAATGTTTAGGGTTTAGGGTTGGTATGTTGTTGACTACATGGGCGAACACAGTAGGGGTACCCCAAATAGACCCCAAACATAGCAAGAATCCTTTCAATACGGACCCTCATAAGTTACCCCTGAATTTATGAACCCACACACACACACAAAAAAAAAGCCTAAACCCTAAATTCTAAACCCTAAACCCTAAACCCTAAACTTGGGCTATAGGCCAGGCGCAGGAGCGTGCGCTTGAGAGTCTTGTCTGGATTAACGAAAATCCGGAGTGCAACGACCCGCACCCTAAATCCCAAAACACAAAGAGCCGAGACTCTTCCCAACAACAAAAACAACTCCGGAAGCTCCCAAAGACGCCTCAATGAAGCCAATAAAATCCTGTTTGGGGCCCAGCTACAACACTTGTTGGAGCCATACTCCTTGATCAAGTGGCACCTGGAGTCTCTTCAGGAGCCCTCCCTTCACCCCAAAGCCTAAACCCTCGGCCCTAAAAGCCCCAAGTCCGTAGCGAACGCCTCCAGAACTCAGAGGACTGCGCAGCTGCAGCCTCAGCCCCCTGGAGCGCACCTGGGGTCGTTTGCACCTACGGGTCCCGGTTCTGCGGACCCGGGGCGACTGGGGTTTCGGGAAGGCTTTGAGGTCTAACGCCGAAGTTTTGGAATTAGGGCCCAACATACGGAGCCATATGGACCCTACGACTAACAACTGACGATAAGCACATGATGGCAAGGTCGACTTCTCACGGGGCTTCCGCAGTGTTGGAGAAAAAGTACGGTGCGCGTCTTGCAGCTCCGAATCGCTCGATAGGGGCCACACTTATTCTGACAGAGGGGCCCTCGAACCCGCGGCTCAAGGTGCAGAGCGAGAAAGCGAAGCATAGAGAAGCACCCAAAGACACAGCTTGGCGAAGGCGCAGCAGACATGCTAGCCACACAGCGACACGAGAGAGGTTGCACAAGCTTGTTGACTCGCATTGTGGCTACTGCCAGGGGCAGTGGGCAAGCACTCACCAGTCCAAGCCGTCGCGCAAGCACAACCTGCGGTCTTATGCGCAAGGTACAAAACTGTGAGCCACGCCCGCAGAGGATCGAATCAAGAAAAGCTCTTCCTGCAGGCACCGCGCACCCCGCTAAACATTTTGATAATTCACGAGCAACGACTGCTGATGCTATAAAAACCCATTCAGACGGATGATAATGCACTTACAAGGCTGCTACACACGCTTCCTTCCCACATGTCGCACACATCATGTAAAGCTAGGGCCGCGTGCGCCGCGCTGGAGCGGCTCCGGCAGGAAGCCAAAAGCAGGTAAGGCACCGGCTCTGCAGCCGTGCGCTGACCTAGTTGACCACGCCCGCCGGAGGTGCACGAATTCGCTTCTGCACAGGTTTGCAAGGCGCTCGTACTGAGTACTGGCTCTTGGCCCTTTATGACGTCGTAGGCTCTTAGTCCATGTAGTCGCCGGCCGTCATGGGGATGGAGGCTCCGCCGTCCATGCTCTCATCCACTCCCTGGCCTTGGCCTTGGCCCCGTTTCTTCTCCCAGCCCCGGCGAGCCGGCGGCTTCCGCTTGTGGCCCAAGCTGAGGATGCAGGGTGGGCAGGAGAAGACGGCCACGGGCAAGTCCGGGTTGAAGGCGACCTTCAGCACCTCGCACTCCAGGGAACGAACAGCAACGCTGGTCAGGGCCACGGGCTCCCCAGAATCGAGCATTACCAGGTCGCCCTCCGCCAATTTTCCGGCCGGGAGGTAGAGGTTCTTCCCTGACTCGCCCGTTGCATCGGCAACCTGCACGAGGTGGTCCGGGGTCACCCGCAGGTTGGCAGCTCCGGCTTGCAAGTCGACGACCTCGGTGGCCCGGCAGAGCTCTGGGTTGGCGGCAACCTCCAGAATGGTCGCATCATCTCCGGCCACCACCTGCGAGCCTTTCTTAAGGTCCCGGCCCATGAGGAAGAAGTCGGTGCTGCAGCTGCGGGTCTTGAAGATGGCATCTGGCATGAAGCAGTGAGGTTTCACAGAGAACCAGGACGAGTGGCTCAGAACCGAGGAGGCATCGTCATCATCGACCAGGGTGTGACCCAACCGATCAGTGAGGCCTGACTCATGGCTGCTGGAGGCTTCTTCGGGGTCGCGGCAGACGTGGGTGGCACGAGCTCCGCGCCCACTTCCGATGCACTTTGCTTGCTTGGTCACCTCGGCAAGCTGGCGCTCCAGCTGACGGCACCGCTCCTGGCACACGCCCTTCTCTACCAGCATCTGCTCCAGCTTGGCCTCTGCTTTCGCCACCTGCTGCCCAAGCAGCTGGCCACGTTCCTTGAGAGCTGCATTCTCGAGCAGGACCTGCAAATCAGCCTTCCTTCCGGAAGCAGCCTCCGCCGCAGCCAGGCGGCTTGCAAGCCGCTCGCAATGGTCCTTGTGCTGGCCACACTCGTCCTGCAACCTTTGGAGATCGGTCTGCGTTGCTGATGCCTCGGCCTCCGATGCCTCCAAGCGACGCTCAAGCTGCTCGCACTGCTCCTTCTGCGCGGCACCCTCGCCTTGGGCGGCCTCGAGTTCGCGCGCCTTGTCCCCCAGCGCCGCATCTGACGCCGCCAGGCGCTCCGTGAGCTGATCGCGCTGCTGCCTCGCGGCTTGAACCTCCCGCTGCTTCTCTGCAGCTGCCGCCTGCGCTGCCTCCAAGCTGGCGCTCAGATGCTCGTTCTGCAACTTGTGCTGGGCAACCTCCTCCTTCGCCGCACAGAGCTCGGCTTCAGCAGCCTTCAGGCGCTCGGCAAGCTGCCTTCGCTCTTCCTGGCCCTTCTCCTCAACTTTCTGCCGCTTCCGCGCCGTCTCCTCGGCCTCCGCCTCGGCCGCTGCCAGCCGCCCAGCGAGCTCCGAGCAGCGAAGGCGGAGATGAGCCTCAAACCACTCCGGCGAAAACCAAGGCGTCCAACTCCCAGCCTCTCGCTCCAGCCCCGCCTCCGAGAAGGAGTGGACGTAGCACCGGCTCCGCTCGCTCCGCGCGTGCTGGACGAGCAGCTCGGCGAGCCGCTCCCGGGAGCGGTCCGCCTTCCCGCTCGGGCAAAGCTCCTCCGTGCGGGCGCGCCAGGCCGCCGCCTCCGCCGGGTTCGCGGCCCAGAGCTCCAGGACTCGCGCCGCCAGCGCCTCTCCGGCGTGCTGCACATCGGCACGAGCAGGGCCGTACCTCGCCACCAAGTGCAGGAAGGCGTCGAGGACGGTTTCCAGGGGCCAGCCGGCCGGGACCGCGGTCAGCTCCCACAGATACGGCATGGCGATCTGGAAACCGAAAAAGGAGCGCCCTTTAAGGGGGGGGAGCGGGCGGGCTCTCTCCTGGAAACTCCTGTCTCCGAGCCGGGCTCGCGCACGCGCTCTTGCGCAAAGAAAAGCGAAGCTCTCATGCAAAAAGATGCCCTCCACAGCCCTGAGACTGCAAAAACTCTGCTTCAGCATCTGCGAAACCCTTCCAGAGCAAGGCAGGTGTTTCGACGATTCAAAAAAAGTTCAAGAGCACGGTCATGCCGCACGCCTGGGCACGCGACTCCGCGGCAGCTTCCACGCTATAGCTCTGCGGACGATCCTGAAGGCTTCGGCAGAGTTTCCACGGGCTGAGTGGCTCAAGGTGAGGGCTGACTCTCTCAAGCAGCCTGCGAGCCCTCAAAAAGAAGGAGTCTGCTTGTGCCAGGGGTGGGGGCGGCTCGAGCCCTTTAGCCTGCTACAAAATTCACTGCCTGCCCCACCCCCATAGCACTGGCCTTGGGATTCCTAAATTGAACTAAATTGCTTTTCGCAACCCTCAGGCCCGGGGCTCCCGACCTAACAACTTTGCGGGACGGCACGGTCGGGCCTGCGGCTTAGCCCCAAAGCCTCAGTTTGTTCCTACAGTAAAAACCCCTTCAAATCCCAGGTCGGGCCAAGTGAAAGGGCCACTCAGGACCCGGTGAGGATCTCCGAAAACCTCCCCCGCTCAACTCTCCCATTCATGTTATTTTTAGTACAATTATTACAATTAGTATTCTTACTATCATTACTATTATTACTATTATTACTATTATTACTATTATTACTATTATTACTATTATTACTATTATTACTATTATTACTATTATTACTATTATTACTATTATTACTATTATTACTATTATTACTATTATTACTATTATTACTATTATTACTATTATTACTATTATCACTATTATCACTATTATTACTATTATTAGTATTATTACTATTATTACTATTATTACGATTATCACTATTATTACTATTATTACTATTATTACTATTATTACTATTATTACTATTATTACTATTATTACTATTATTACTATTATTATGGTTGCTAATAATTAATGTTACTATTCTTATCTTATTACCATTATTACTATTATTCCCTCTCCTCGGCTGCAGAAGATGGGGATCACCAACGCCTCCCTCGAAGTCCACAACGCGACGGCCGGTGGAGATGGAGGCCACCAGCTGAAGCCGGGGACCTTTTCCGAAAAACGTCGCCAGCTAACAACTCGCAACTAACCGAACTAAAAATAAAAACAAACACAGAGAGAAGGAGAGAGAGGGAGAGAGAGAGAGAGAGAGAGAGAGAAAGAGAAAGAGAGACAAATATTGACAAGATCACTGCCACGACCTCTATTCTACTATGAGGGATCCCTGAAGAGATTCGGAGGCTTGAGATGAACGCTCTGCTAGCCCCCTGCTGGCTGTCCGGTGGACTCTCTGCGCAAGCTCTAGACAGGGTCCCCCCGTGGCCCGCGCCTCCACATTCACCGGGCACCTTGAGGGAGGCGTCGACGATGGCAACATGGAACAGGGGGCGCCTCAGCGGCGCGAGCCGAGGAGGGGGCTGAAGGGCCGGGCCTTAGAGGGCCTCATAAGGTAGTTTCGAACCCAGCTAGCCCTCAAACCCTCTGAAAAATCATGACCATTTGAACAGGACAACACTGAAACTCCGCAAAGGGCCTATGGCTGAAGGCTTATAAGCTCTGGGGGCAGCGCCGCGCACCCCCCGTCGGGCGTCTCCGAGCGTCCGCCCCTGGACCTTGCACTTTGCAGTTCAGCAACTCTTTGGCCAGTGTCTGGGGTTCTTGGTGGTCGCCGGTTTAGGGTTTATTGTTTAGGGTTTCGGCTGTGGGGTTTAAGGTTTGGAGCTGTGGGGATCGGGGAGGGCGCGAAATGGGTTCGGGGATGAACCCTAAACCCTAAACCATGAACCCAAAACCCCAAACCCCCAACCCTAGCAGCTCTGCATCTTTTTCGACAACGGTCTGTGATGAGACCCAAAGCTGTTGGAGCACCAGTGAAAAGCTCCGACCGCACGCCTCGCCTCCATCGCCTCCATCGCCCCTTGTCCAACTTCCAGCTCGGCCCCCGGCTTTGGGGTTTAAGTGGTTTAGGGTTTAGGGTTTAGGGTTTAGGGTTTGGGGTTTAGGGTTGAGGGTTTAGGGTTTCAGCCCCAAAACCCTAGAAGCCAGAAGTAGAACCACCCCCCTTCCACCCCCTCCTTTAGCCCCCTACATCCGCGCGTCCCTGGCCAGGGCCTTCCGGCACTCCCGGATCGCCCTCTCCGCCACCGAGGGGTGGGCGCCGAAGCCCACGAGTCGGTAGTGGAAGGGGAGTAAGGGTCCCTCAAGGACATCCTGAGGACTCTTAGGGCTGTAGGGGGTTTTTGTGGGCTTTAGGGCTTCAACACTTTAGGGCTGTGCAGTAGGGGGTGTTTTAAGGGTTTAGGGGTTGGGGTTTAGGGCCCTCAAGGACATCCTGAGAACTCTTGGGGCTGTAGGGGTTTCAGGGGTTTAGGGATGAGGGTTTAGGGGCCCTCAGGCTCTAGGCTGCACAGTAGGGTTTTCAGGGGTTGAGGGCTTGGGGTTTAGGGGCCCTTCAAGGACATTCTGAGTTTAGGGCTGTAGGGGCTTTAGGGATTTTAAGAGGGAAGCATGTAGGGGTTTAGGGCTTAGGGTTTAATGGTTTGGGGCTCGGGGGCTTGGGGGTTTGGGGTTTGGGGTTTTGGGGTTTTGGGGTTTGGGGTCGGGGGTTTGGGGGGGGGGTTTGGGGGTTTTTGGGGGGGTTTGGGGGTTTGGGGTTTGGGGGTTGGGGTTTGGGGGTTTGGGGGTTTGGGGGTTTGGGGGTTTGGGGGTTTGGGGGTTTGGGGGTTTTGGGGGTTTGGGGGGTTTGGGGTTTGGGGGTTTGGGGGTTTGGGGGTTTGGGGGGTCTTGGAGGTTTAGGGCCTCTTGGGTTGTAAGGGATTTCGGGCATTCGGGCTTTTGGGTTTAGGTTGTTGGGGTCGGCTCCTCGACAAATGCCACCAGGCATCAGGGTAGAGGTGGTGCAGCGGGTGTGAGGGGCTTTCAAGCTCTCGCGGGTGGACGCCTACCAAGTCTGCGAGCTCCTCGGCCATGTCCACGTAGCCTCAGTCGATCTCACTCTCGCACTGGCAACTCCGCACGCTCGCACGACTTTCTGACCCCCCTTGCACTAAACCCTAAACAACCCTAAGCCCGAAACCCTAAACCCTAAACCCTAAACCCTCCGGCCCAAGTGGCTCTGCGGGAACTGGGGTCGGTCTTCCCCCGCTCGCAAGGCCCAGGCCCGATCCAGGCTCTCCCTGCGGGGTTTATGGGTTCAGGGGCCCAAAGAAGGCTGAACTGCGACCCTAAAAAATGCGGAAGCCCTAAACAAAACTTTGAAGCCCAAACTAAACCCTGCAAGCTACATCTTACCCGGACCTCCCTGCCTCCTTTCCTCCTCCGTGGGTGCTCGGAGGCGTCCGGAGAAGACGCCGCAGGCCCAGCGAGCCTGGCTTAGGGCCGGGGGTGTGGAGCTATGTGGGGCACTACTCTCTGCAGGACGGGGCGGGGTTTAAGGTCCGCAGGCCCAAGCCCTGAATGACCCGAAGCCCTTGCAATCCGAAAGCCTAAACCCTACAACCCCACAACCCTCCAGCCCTACAACCCCCAAAAACCGGACTTAGGGCTTCGGGCTTAGGGCTTCGGGCTTAGGGTTCAGGGTTTGGGGTTTAGGGTTTGGGGTTTAGGGTTTGGGGTTGAGGGTTTAGGGTTTAGGGTTTCGGGTTCGCTGAGGGCCGTTTTTCAAAGCCTGCAGTTCCAGCACGGCGAAGTAGGGCCCGCGGTAGATGCCCACAAAGGCCAGGCCGGGGAACTCCTCCACATCTGAGGGATAAGGGCCTTTTTCATGTATTCGGGTTTCGGGTTTCGGGTTTCGGGTTTAGGGTTTAGGGTTAGGGTTTAGGGTTTTGGGTTTTGGGTTTAGGGCTTGGGGGGCACCCAAACTAGCCAGCGATCCAGGTCGGCCCCTGAACCCTCAACCCCCAACCCCCAAACCCTCAAAACCCTCTAGACTTGGGATGTTCCTCTTAAAACTAACAGTCCTTAAAAAAGGATTCCAATAGGGGGTCCCCATGAAGGACTGCTAGTATAAGGGGCAACATCCCAACTCGAAACCCCAAACCCCTTCCTCCGGAGGCCACGTGCAATGGCTCAGGATCAGAGGCTGCAGTTGGTCACGCTCCAGGTGGACGGCCTTTTTCAGCTCAGGGACCAAGAAGGGAAGGTCCAGGTCGTAGCCCGTTGCAACAAGGAGGGCCTCGAATTCCTCCGTAGGGTTTCAGGGGTTTAGGGGTTTAGGCTTTAGGCGTTTGGGGGTTTGGTCCCGTGCTGTTGATGCTGTGGTTGCAGATGGTTTATGGGGGGGGGGCTGATGGACAGTTGCTCCTATCTTGTGTTTGGCCAACGTCCTCCGACCGGCCGTCTGCAAAGTGAACCGTAGATCCGGTGACGTTGCTGACAGTGCCGGCAACTGACACAGCTCCTGTCCGAACCGCATCCGCAAAATGGTCGCTGATGCACACGAAAGGTGGCCGGGTCCAGTCGCTGGGCGCTGTCAGGGCCTCCGGCATCTGCGCAAGTCCTGAAAGAAACTGGTGTCGCTGGCGATTGCTCTCCTCGGGTGTCTGCTTCGGCTTGGGCTTGCGCGAGTAGAAGGCCAGGTCTGCGGGGACACCGTTGACGTAGCGAGGGATGTACCACATCGGCTTGCCGCCGGCCACGGTGACCGAGGCGCAGCTGGACAGGTCCACGGCAATGTCGGCCCCGCTGAAGGCGGAGCCAACGACCAGGACCTTCCTGGGGGGGCCACTGTCATGACAGCAAATGACAGCAACGCAAGAAGACCTATACTGGTACTACCACTACTACAGCAACGGATGACACACACACACACACACACACACACACACACACACACACACACACACACACACACACACACACACACACACACACACACACACACACACACACACACACACACACACACACACACACACACACACACACACACACACACACACACACACACACACACACACACACACACACACACACACACACACACACACACACACACACACACACACACACACACACACACACACACACACACACACACACACACACACACACACACACACACACACACACACACACACACACACACACACACACACACACACACACACACACACACACACACACACACACACACACACACACACACACACACACACACACACACACACACACACAACACACACACACACACACACACACACACACACACACACACACACACACACACACACACACACACACACACACACACACACACACACACACACACACACACACACACACACACACACACACACACACACACACACACACACACACACACACACACACACACACACACACACACACACACACACACACACACACACACACACACACACACACACACACACACACACACACACACACACACACACACACACACACACACACACACACACACACACACACACACACACACACACACACACACACACACACACACACACACACACACACACACACACACACACACACACACACAGCCAGCCAGAGAAGTGCTTGGTGGTGGCAAAGGCTCTTGCCAGCAAACTCCTCTGGCTTGCGGTAGTCGGCCGCATGTCGCAGGAGCCCCGGGAAAGTCTCCAGACCCGGGAGCTGCAGGTGAGCCTCCAGGGGAGGAGATTCTTGGAAATTGTGTCTCTACCACGTCCCAGCTGAACATCCGAAACATTGTCCATGACAAGTGCTGAGCTGAGCCCAAGCCTTATGAAGTCATGTCTGCGCAGTCTGAGACCCCTATCAACGCCGCGGAAAAAACAAACCTGCCTTACAATCACCCGCCCCGGCCTTCTCAAAGATGCCGCTGGCCACCACCAGGTGCCTGAAGTGCTGCTGCTTCGGCTCCCCGGCCTCCCGCCAAGCCAGCTGCCATCCAGAAGTCTCCCCATCCTCTTGCTGTTGGTTAGTATGGGAAATGATGGAATGAGGTACCCTATATCCCCCTAAACTAGATTATACCCTTTAAGGGATTCTGTAGGGTACCTCATCCCCTCATCATACCCTACTACGAACCAACAGTAAGTCCTGCCCTCGGCTCACCGAGGTCACCTCGCAGTGGAGGTGGAGGTGTGGCTGGAGGCTCTCAGCAAAGCGCTCCAAGTAGCGGCAGACCTCCCGGGCCTTTGGGAAGGTCTCGGCCTCTTCAGGCCAGGGGAAGTCCGAAAAGGCGCAAGTGTACCTTGTTCACGATTTAGGGTTTAGGGTGTAGGGTTTAGGGTATAGGGTCTTGCAGAGGAAAAGAAACCGGGAAAGTGTATCACGGAGAAAAGCCCACCAGAATCATCATAAGGCTACTTGGAGAGGTTGGTCCGCAGGGAGTCCCAGACTTTCCCCTCCGACGCTCGCCAGAGACCACCCACGCCCCCGCTCTTCTCGAAGACACTGGGCCTCTTGGCTTCGGAGAAGTCCTAAACCCTTCAACCCCTTTTGCCCTAAAACCTGCATCCCATGGTGCACCGAAGCCTCTACCCCAAACCCCCCTGAGACCCTGAGCTCAAGCTCGAACTTGATGCCTCAACAGCCGGAACATCCTAGGATACACCCTAATCGCCTGTTTAGCCTACACCCTGAACCTCGTTAATCTCGACCAAGTAGAATGGAAGCAAGCTTCCATCTTGCGATCAATGGAACGCTTCCTTTCAATCAACTGATGAGGTGGACTTGATTTTATTTAAAGCGCCACCCGCCCCCAAAAAACCTTACGGGCACCCTAAACCCTAAACCCTAAACCCTAAACCCTCAACCCTCAACCCTCAACCCTCAGCCCTAACAGTAACCCCTCACCGTAGCCCCGCCTGAGCCCCTCCTCCAGCGCCGCCTTGGCGGCCGCCAGCCCGGAGGGCCCAGCGCCGATGATCGCCACGCTCCCTCCGCCACCTTCGGCGCCTCCCTGCATGGCTTGGGGGGGGGTTTAGGGTTTAGGGTTTAGGGTTTAGGGTTTCGGGTTTAGGGTTTAGGGTTTAGGATTTAGGGTTTAGGGGTGCCTATGGAGTAGGGGCTCACGAAGTTTCATGTACAAGGGGCCTAGAGAAGGGTTGAGGGAGAGAACATTGAGAGCTGAGGGTTTGGGGCTTCAGATTTTGAGAAAGCAGCAGGACATCATGGGGCAAGCTCGGGGCCTCTGAGGGCATAGGTTCAGGTTTTTGGGGTTTGGGGGGGTTGAGGGGTTCAGGGTCTATAGGGTTTCCGGGTAATGGCTCAGCAGTCGCCGCGAACTTGTGAGTCGCCTGGAATTCCCCCCTACGAAATCCCAAGATACAAAGGATCGCGTACCGGGACTGCAAGCCCCCAAAGCTGTCTAGGTAGTCCTTAAACCCTAAGCCCTAAACCCTAAACCTTTAACCGTAGAAGTCCAGCTGAGACGATTTCATACACAGCTGGACTCCAGTCCCACCGAAACTCAAGGCCTTGTGTGCTCCCCCTGTCTCCAGGTTTCCAGCAGACCGCATGAGCGCGGCACTGGGTCTGGCAGCTGCTAGATCATGGCCGAGCCCTCGGAAGAATCCTAACATCGAGCCCAAGGCTGCAAGGGCACCGCGAAAGCCCCCAGGTGACGGCCATTAAGACTAGCAAGCTCACTGTGATGATTCGGGATGAAGGTGGACACGAGTGGCAAACAGGGAACAAGAGGCAGAGACCCCTGAAAAGTCACCACACAGTTTTAGGCTATATCTAGGGCAACGTTCACGGTCGGGCAACTAAAGTGGTACTTGTGCTTTGATGCGATGAGCGCAGCGGCGTAGCAGGTTGCACCCCGCTCTTGCGCTTGTGGCAAGGCCAAAAGATGGAACGACATACATCAACCAAGGGATTTGCGCTCGGCAGGCTTTGCATACTTCGTGATAATGCTGCCGGGCTTTCCGTGCGCGCTTGGTCCAGGCTGCGGGCGCTCCTTGAGATAAGCACTGACAGCTGGTAGCCTTTCCATCCTGTCAAACCAGCTGCGCAACTTGAGGCCAAGCCTGGCTGCGCTTGGTGGGTCCACGAGGCGCAGGGAGTCAATGACGTTGAAGAGCATGAACTCGCCGTAGTGCGGCATGTCTCCTGCAAAGAATGGCGCATCACCCAAGCTCTTCTCCCAGTGCTCGAGGCTCACAAGAACATCGCTGTATGGCGGAAGGCTCGACAGATTGCCATGGTATGTGTCGGGTTTCTCACCTCGCAGAATGGCATCTGTAACCTCCTCAGGATAAGACACGAGCATGCAACCGGGAAACATGAGAGGATAGGTGTTGCAAGCCAGGGCCATCGCGTGCGCCTGTTCAAGCTGACTGCCCTTCAAGGCCGGAAACTTTCCAACAGGTGCTTCTTCCTGAATGAGGCGGGCAATGTCCGCCGTCTCAGGGACCATCTCTCCAGTTCGGAGCTCCAGAACCGGTAAACCTGGGGGTTGACGATATTGGGTGCATTATAAGGGGATCCTACTACTTGGGGATCTGTATTAGGGGTCCCTTAGAATCGTAAACTCCCACCTCTGTTACCGGCCGGGCGTGTGGACACTCCAGGCACGCCCTTTCCCTCGGGCATCAGCTCCTTGGCTCTGTTCCACTCTTCCGGGCTGTACAGCTTGTCCACATAAGGAATCCCAGCGGTTCGAAGCAGCATCCGCAGGGCTTCGGCGCGGCCGCGAACCGGAAAGTAGTGAACGGTCACTCCAGCATCGAGCCTTCCGAAGTGCTCGCCAAACTTGCTCCTGCCTCGTCCATGGAATGACTTTCCATCACGGGCCCACTGTGAGCCATGCGCTACGAACTCGTAGTTGGCTATGATGTCCTTGTCTGGGAGGTTGCCGCTCTGAAACTCAGGAAGCGCTGCAACAGTCTGCAGCAGCTTCGCAATGCGTGGATCTGCTAGGAGCTGAAAGTCACGGAAGTGCGATAAGCTGATACTCAGACGATGCAGGAAGGGAGCACAATGCACGTCTGCCAAGGAGACGCTGCTGCCCACACAAAAGTTGCTTTCCTTGCTCAGGACTGCACCGAACTTCTGCAAGCTCGACTTGATCTTGTCGGCCCAGTCCTGGTCCTTGCTACCATCCTGATTCCTTAGGAGGCCGAACAGGCCTGGAATAACATCATTGAACTTCTTCATGGCTAAGCGCACCCGGCTGGCTTGCACCGGATCTGTCGGAACGAGCTTCGGGCCAGGGCTTGAGGAGACCGAGTCGAAGTACTCCGCCAAGATCTCGGACTCGGTGATGACTTCCCCCTCCGCCGTGCGCAAGCTCGGCACCTCCCCACTGGGGTTGATCATCTCAAGGTACTCCTGCCGGATGGCCTTGATCTCCGCCACCGTCTTCTGCTTGAACTCCTGGGCTCCGCCCTGAATCGCTTCAACACCGAGCTTCTCGGCAAACTCCACTTGCCGGCCATAGGGCACGAAACGTGTCTCCACCTCCACACCCCGAAGGGCGCGGGCAAACATTGCCCGGTGGCAGAAGGGGCAGGAGTTGTTCGTAAAGTGCATCGCCATGGCGATTGAAATTTGTTCAAAATGATCCGGAGTTCTCCGGTGGCTAGCCGAAAGCCGCTTCGGCCAGACCCTCTCCGCATGCGCTCATGTGATTCCATAAGAGAGCTCTAAGAGCGTGGTGATGCGACCTCCGCCTGGAACAAGACTACACGAATCTCTGGCAGCTACAGAGCGGTTGCCCTATACACCCCTCACACAGCTTAAGTCCATTCTCTTGCAGATGCAAAGCCTGAGATTCCTCCCCCCTTAAGCCCATAAACCCCCTAAATTTTACACCCTAAACCCTAAACCCTAAACCCTAAACCCTAAACCCCTTGGGATGAAAGCTGGGGACCAGGCCACTCCCGCCTCGAGGTGTCTGCTCCCCCTCCAGCCATGCACCTGGTTTAAGGGTTTAAAGTTTAGGGTTTTGGGTTTAGGGTTTAGGGTAGGGGCGTGCCAAACGGAAGCACGCTTTGGGAGCGCGTGGTAGTCTGCAGACCTACCCACCCCAAGACCGCGCACTTACAACTCTCAAGGAGTTAAGACCTCTTTTTTTTACAAAGCATCACATGAGTCAGCACTCACGCCCTCTTGGGGACCTCCACAAGGTGCGTGGACCAGGCACAAAGCTGCAGCAGACGGAAAGGCGAGGCAGGGTCAGCGAAGACAGCTTGGGTTGGCGCGAAGGGGCTGGCCAGGGGCCAGGAACAGCGAGGCTTGGTTGGCGCGAAGGGGCTAAGGCCAGGAACACAGGCATTGAACAGCCTGGGTTGGGCAGAGCGCCACGGAAACAGGGCAGGCGTGGACCACACAAAACTGTTGTGCGGACAGCTTGGCTTGGCGCGAAGGGGTGAGGGTGCCGGGCCAGGGCGGGCCAGGGCAGGGCCAGGGCCTCCAGGGGCCCTCCCACGAGGCCTCCAATCAACGTGCGCGGACACCTTGCGTTTTATAATCTATTACAATACAGTGACAACTGCTGACTCGGCCTGGAGGGTAAGCCAGCCTGGAGGTCAGCTCGGTCGCCCGCCTGGGGTCCCTCGCAGGGTTTCACTGAGCGCTCGACCAGCGCCCGCCTACCCCAGAGGACAAGAGAGTGGGGTGGCGGGCGGGTTTAGGGTTTAGGGTTTAGGGTCGCTTTCTCGGGAATTAGGGCTTACCTTAGGGTCCCTCGGTCGGAGCTAGAGTCTACCGAGCAACAGCCGATACTGCTTTGCAGCAGAAAACGGAGCATTTAGACGTAAGAAACCCTTGCAAAGGCGGAGGCCACGCACGACAGTAGTCAACGCAACAGGGATAGCCGGGCCGAACAGCCAAGAAAAGGATAAATAAAAAAAGGCATGCCCAGGCGGCCTTCCCCTGGTGGTTGAGGCACGGGCTTGCACGACGCCACAGCTACAAGAGAGGCTACCACAGCCACTTAAGCCCAGCAGCGGCAACCGATGCAAGGCTTGCATTGCAGTATACCGCTAAACAGTATACCCCTAAACAGGGTTATACCCCTAAACAGGATACCCCTAAACAGGGTTCTACCCTAAACAGGATAGACCTAAACAGTATACCCCTAAACCATATACCCGTAGACAGTATACCTGATCAGGATGCCCTATTCACCATTGCACCGTAGAGTTCCAGCCCGCTGGTCGATAAAGCTATACCGGATCGGATGTGATTGAAGAAGCTCTCGCTTGCCAATTCGTTTTTTGCAAGAGCTTGCTTCAGTACAAGATAGCACCTGCGATCGTTCAAGAATCTTCGCGTGGGTTCACTGCTTATTCCGTCTAGGATGGTTCTGAAAGCCCTCTGTGAAAATATTCATAAACATGATCGAAAATACAAAATGTACACCAAGGGCCTACCTAGCCATGTTCAAGAACAATGAGACGTGACATGCCCATTGAGATGACAGCTACCAGACGTGTCCTGAACAATCTTGCACCGAGCGCGAAGGTTCTCAGTGCTCAGGTCACCATTTTGGCACTACGCCCCCCCCATCGAGCGCATCCGCGCGAGCTTCTGACACGCTCAAGGGACGCCTCCCACTCGAGCCAACGATGAGCAGACCGCCGCCTTGCCTACTATTTGCTTAAGAACGCGAAGAAAATGCAAAATAATAATCCCTAGGTATTGCCCTTATAAGGAAATACATTTTGATTTTGGGGGGCTCTTAAGCAAATGGTACTTGCTGTTCGGCCCCCCGAATCTGTACACTGAGAAGCAAGTGGGAAAACTTCCCCCACCTACCTGCCATGTAGGATCATTTTGCTGTCACCATTCCCCACACCTTCTTGGCGTTAGTGGAAATCGGAACGTTTTCGGGTTTAGGGTTTAGGGTTCTTCTGTACAAAACCTGCCTGGAGGTTCATGGCTACTAACAAGCAGGGTTATAAGTACACTAAATGAGAACTCGCACTCCTTTGCTTTATGACGCTTTTTCTTACTGCCAGACTTATAACCCTACTTGTAGCTACACATGAACACGCTATAAGCCTTTTAAACAAATCTGGAACTTTCACCGCCTCCTCCTGGCACGGCGTCGGAGGGGTTCACGGCGTCGGAGGGGGGCACGGCGGCGGGAGCCCACTACCGATATCTTCACGCAGGTCTTGCGCTGCGGGTTGCACACCCACCCATCATTTCGGCAGCACAAGTTGCACAGGGGCCAGTAGAGGTAGCCGGGATGGCAGTTAAAGGACTGCCCCATCTTGCTGGAAGAGTTCATTCCGAGGACCTGCGCTCGAGACAAGAACAACCTCTGCAAGGCGCAACCACGAGGAACCCTCTGCCTTCCCTGTCATAGTTGGCTGGCTTCCATTGCCCTTGACTGGACTGTCCTGCGACAAGGGGCGAACGGAGGCAAGTCATGAAAGGAACCAAGCCAATCTTACTGTAGCGGCGTGTGGCTGGCCTGCCATGATGAGAGCTGCCACAGGATTGTCATTGAAAATGAGCTTTAGGCCGTTTGGCAAGTCACTTCATCGGCGGCATTGCGGTGTGGATGCACTGAACAGTGCAACATGGAGCGGCATGAACGCGCATGGCGTATGGACCCCAACACCCAGCAGCCTCGCCTCGGCCGACACGGAGGTGTTGCCAGGAACCTGAAGGCCCGAAAGAAGGACAGAGGTGGTCACCAAATCCAAGGGGGGCCCTCAGAGCTCCCAGAAACCCGCCGACCTCCACGCGGCCAGGGTCAGCCTTACAAGCAGGGGGAAAGCGGGGAAAGGTACGAAGCAAGCGGACGGGAGGCCCAGTGCCTTGGTTTGGGCTGCGACCCCCACGGCCAACCTCAGCGCGCGTCCAAAGTCATAAACTCGGCTGGGTTGTCCCCAGGACGCCTCAGCACGGGACAGGGCCAGCCACCAAGCCATTCTCCGCAAATCCCGCGTCAGGGTGGCTCACGGCCCTCATCAGGGTGCTTAGGAGCCCATCGCACTGGTTCCCACAAAACTCCTCCACTCTAGTCAGCAGAGGGCCCCACGCCTTCGTGGGACGAAGGCACAGGCCCGGTGCTGCGGTTGTTGTGCTGAGCATGGATACCTCATAAGATGCCTCGGGCTGTTCCTGGTCTTGGCTTAGATCCGCTCTCTTACGTCTTCGCGTGGCTTCGTATGTCCTGCCATCTCGTACACCCTGCCATCTGCAAAGGATCTTAATTGCCTGCGGAGGAAAAGCTGCACAAGATGTGCACGCGCAGCCACCAGCAAAACGGCATCACGGCCCTTTTCCACCACCGCAAACGAGCTCAGCAATTCAGACCGGCTTGGGGCATGGTGCTCTCAATCCTGTCTTCACTGTGCAAGCAGGCTGTGCAGTTGTGGAAAACAAAAGAGCTTCAGACGCTGCTTTGCAGCGTGGCACCTACACGTGCGCAGCGCGAAGCTGCGAGGTCGAAGAAAGGACGAACTCTTCCTGGTCCATACCAGGGTTTTGGGATGGCTAGGAACAACCGGTGCTTATCATGGCACATAACCCCTCTGAAGGAAAAACAGGGGCGCCGCGCCGCGGGTACTAGGATAGGGACACTTAACTCAGGGAACTGAGGACTAAACCCTAAACCCGAAACCCGAAACCCTAAACCCGAATTTACTGTAGAAAGGCCCAAGAGTGGGCCGCCACCATGATGCACACGGCCAGAGGCAAGATCTGCTTCTGGGTGCGTTCCTGATGCCTCGGCTTAAAGCGTTCCTTCACGTTGTTTCAACTCTCTACTTGGGATTTTCCCCCTTATACGAACAGTCCTTGATGGGGATCATAATCGGGGGGGTACGACAATGCCTATTGAGGACTGCTAGCAAAAGGGGGAGCGATGCAAGCTTTTGGGGCGCCAAACCCCAGCGTTCGCTCGCGGCGACCTCTCTGGGCTGACGACATGTTGCAAAAGAGGATGCGAACCTCGTCTACCAAAGCGGGCAGACCACACCTCCAATCTTCTATGTGCTATGTAGGGACCCTAAACCCTAAACCCTAAACCCTAAACCCTAAACCCTAAACCCTCAGAACTTCAATATGCTGCTGCTACGACATGATGCGGCCCCATGCTCCGGAATCAGCCTTTAACACCTGAGTCACAAGGTTGGCAACCATCCCGCAACACATGAGCGCTCTCCCAGCCTCACACTGACCCAGACACAATTTAGGGTTGAGTTTCAAGGCTGAATGGGCGTTTTGGGTGGGTTTAGGGCTCGTGATCCGAAGCGTTTCAACCCTAAAACCACACACCTTCAGGAGGGTTTAGGGTTTAGGGTTTAGGGTTTAGGCTTCAGGGTTTAGGGATTAGGGGTTTAGGGTTTAGGGTTTAGGGTTTAGGGTTTAGGGTTTAGGGTTTAGGGCAAGTGAAGCCGGGCTGCTGCTTGATGGGGGCCACCAGCTCAGCAGGCAAGGCGCGCCAGCCCTGTCCGTCAGGATTCCAGCTTGGCACATCGGCCACACACCTGCCTGTCATGGCACAAGGCACCGAGCCCTGTGTGCCGTTTGGGGTTTGGGGTTTAGGGTTTAGGGTTTAGGGTTTAGGGGTTGAGGGGAATTGAGGTTATTGGTTTATGTCAGGCTGGCTGGAGATTGCCCCCTCGCGACACCTCATTGTCCGTAGAAACCGGTGTTCAGCCACATCGCACTGGTAAAGGCCAGCGCAAAAACTCCGAGGAAGGTTAGGATCGTGGAGGACGCGGTGCCTTTGCGAGAGGCCGCAAAGAGCACGGCTGCATAAGAGTCCACGAGCCCTTTGGAAACACGCACCGCGCGATTGCCCCACGAAGTGGCCACCATGGTAGCCTGGGCCGACACTACGCGAGGCTTGTCGTCAACTCCTTGCGCAGAAGTTGTGGTCAGGCCTGCCAGGGCCAACATCAACCCTATGCCAAAACCTGTGAGGATGCGTGCCGAGGACAACGACGTGAGGATCAATGGCAAGTTTGTCACTTGGAGAAAGACCACGGCTCCCAAGAACTCCTTCGCCATTGCTGCAAGATACGAGCTGCACACCCCTAAACTCTAAACCCTGAACCCTGAAACCCTAAACACTAAACCCTAAACATGGTCTTCGTATCATGGTTGACAAATGGGGGTTTCCGAAATTGGGGGGGTGCCTTGTTGGGGTCCTCATTAGAAGGGAATCCTACGATGTAGAGGTCCACATGAGGAGTCCCCCTATTTTCGGAGACACCCAAATGTGCCTGCACACACACGCTACGCACTGCATCCCTTTTGAGCCAACAAGGGTTTAGGGTTTAGGGTTTAGGGTTTAGGGTTTAGGGTTTAGGGTTTAGGGTTTAGGGTTCAGGGCTTTGTCAGCCGCCCTTGTCGCAACACTACCAACGCAGCCTACATCGAGGTTCCCGTTTCATGAGCGCAATTCAGTTCCGACGACTAACACATCCGAACATGCCTACTGATAACTTCGTGGGTGCAAGTTGGCTTCTACTTGGCAGATTGTGTTTCCTGAGTTGCGTTGCTCCCTGTTCTTCGCAAACGCCACCGGTCCTTGCAGGCTTGTGCAACATATGAAGTAGGGTACATATTTCTGGTACCCCCAAAAGGACACCCAATATATACACTCACCAAGTTTAAAAAGGAACCTTATATACACTCACAAATAACAGTAACATGAACCCTGTTTCATAGAAGTGTCCGCGTGCCCCTCTTGGACCAGCTGAGAATCTACTGCAAAGGCGGGGGGGGACATTCCAGGCATCCCCCTGTTCCTGACAGAAAGCTTCACCCCCGGTCAAGCGGGAAAGCGCTCCGTTCTTTTCGCCGCAGAGAGGGAGTCTGAGAGCTGAGCCTACAAAGGGCTAATTCCATCCATCCCCGAAACCCATCTGAACAAACACTACCCCGTTACACGTATTCAAGCTTTGTTCTCTACCACGCAATCGCTCACTCCACTTTCTGCATCCAGGCGTGCGGCCACAGCTCGGGCTGCTTCACGGATGAACGCCGGGTCCTTCAGTTCATTCTGCAGCTTTATCAACTCCTGCTCGGCGGTTTAAGGGTGAGCTGTCCGAACAACGCCCTGGGCTGACGAGATTGATGGGTTTCCCCCCCCCCAGTTCGGGCTTGTCTAAGCAGAGGTTTTGTTTCTTTAGCCAGGTGGTTCCCCTGCGGGTATGTCGTGTAGTCTTTCACTTGAAGAGGGTCTCTGCGCATCGCAATCCTGGTCAGGATCAACAATGGGTTCTGAACGCCCAATCTGCCACTGCTCGCGAGCCTGGACCTATTGGGAAGTCCCCCTCCACCGCGTTTGCCAACAGTGTGCTTCATGGATCTGCAACTGTATCCCCTGCGAGGCCCTGGCTGGAGTCCCTGCCCTTTCTCCATTGGAAAGGCGTTTGTTTGCAACTGGACTGGGGTTTAGGGCTTAGGGTTTAGGGTTTAGGGTTTAGGGTTTAGGGTTTAGGGTTTAGGGTTTAGGGTTTAGGGTTTAGGGTTTAGGGTTTAGGATTTAAGGACATCGAGATGCATCCTCTCAGGCCATTTCACTTGTGTAGCGTAGGGGCCCGACCGGCACGATTCTTCTGAAGCTTGGCCAGCCCCCCAGCCGGTGTTGGGGGAGGGGGTGCCTTGAGGGCGCCATCAGTGGGATAGGGTTTAGGGTTTAGGGTTTAGGACTTAGGATTTAGGGTTTAGGGTTCAGGGTTTAGGGTTTAGGGGCAAGGCTGGGAGAATGGCGTCCTTCGAGCAGAAGGCGACAGGTGGTGGGCGGGAGGATGGTTGGATACCACTTCTTCACTGCAGTTTGTTGCTTCTGCAACAGAATAGAATTCATGATGTAGGGCAACGATTACTCACTCGACCATCCACATGCATGTGTGATCACGCTGAGAACCAAATTGAACCTCCTCTACCCAGAGTAAACCTCACCGTAACTAGGAGACCTTATCACTACTATGTTTTGCTTTAGGAGTATCCACTCTCATACGCGAGCTCGACCAGCAAGGTGCTTGGCCTGCACCGTCCACTACAACGTCAACACGGTCGCTACTTGCCCACAGTGTTGGTAGTCGAAAACAAATAGCACGGCCCATACACAAGTATGTGTCCTCAAAGAATGCCACAAATCAAGAAGCATGTGCCATGCGGATCATGGGTCAATTTCTATGAAGGTGTGGAGGAAACTGCAACCGATTCGTGTAATTTCTTCTGGGTTGATTGAGACATTTGCAGGGTTCGAGATTCACATCCTGCCCAAACCCACAAAAAGCAAATTGTCCTGTGGGACCTAAGACGACATCAGCCCTGCTGGGTTGGGGAAGAAGCAAGAGGCGGCACACAGGCTCCTGTCGGTACTCAGCTGCCGCTCGTGGCGTGGCACGCGACGCGTCTGTGTAGAAGTCGTCCGCATCGACGAAAGGGCCGATGAAGCCGCCCTCCCGGAATGCCCGCCAGCACGCTTCGGGTCTCCACTGGCCAAAGTCTGCTGTGGAAGCCTCCGCGTTCAGTTGCTGAAGCTCTTCCTGCAATCCTTCTAACAAGCCCTTGTACTGCTCGAAGGAGGAGAGGTCTGAGTGCTCGCCGGGGTCGGCATCGACATCATAGAGGCAGCCAAGGCCACAGTCCGCCACCATGGCATTCGCCAGGTAAGCCGACTCGTTCTCGTCGATTCGCAGCTTCTGTGCGAAGACGTCGACGTAGGGGAATGCCGGGTGCTCGCTGCTGCAGTTCGGAAAGACGGGGCCAGGCCAGAAGCTGAACTCCTGCTTGCCAGTCACGAGCTTGTATGGCCACTTCAGCAGGGCCGTCCTGCTCAGAAGCAGCGCATCCGCGCGGCCATTGCTGCCTGAAAGTATGTGCTGCATCTGGGGCCGACCATCCACGGCAGCCAGAAGTGGCAGACCTTTGTGCTGCAAGACCTTGTTGGCCTCGTGTGCAGGCGCGTCAACATGACTGACACCAGCCATGCTGCACAGGGTAGCGTACCAATCCGAAATGTGGATCACGCCACTGAAGCTGCTGCCACGGTTTTCAGCTGGAACAACACCTCCCGAGATGAAGGCATTGGTGCGCACTCCTCCTTCCCAGTCTGCATACTTCCCGGACTTTAATGGATAGTTATTCCCGCTTCCTCTGAGGTGGACGCCCCCTCCATTGTCGGACAGAAACACAATCAATGTGTCCTCGAACATGTGACGCTCCTTCAAGGTGGCCACGAGCCTGCCCATGACAAAGTCCAGGTACAGAACATTTGCAGAGATCCGCTTGCGGCGGTGGGTCCAAGGAAACTTCCTTTGCACACCCGCAGCGGTGAAAGCCTTTTCCACCGCCTCTTCGAACTGGACAGCTGACCTTCGTGATTGTAGCGGGGGATGCACAAGGTGTGATGAGTACATGAGGAACAGAGGCGTTGAAGGCGGGTGCTGCTTGATAAGCCGTGCGGCATGCTCAAGAAGCATGGTCTCTTCGTAGCAGCTTTCTGGCAAGCACTCGCTTCGATCATCCTCGTTGCATCCAAAGTTTGTGAAGGTTTTCCCCCGAACACGAGCATCGCAGCCCAGTTCTGCTGCGATGGCCCCTTCCACACCACCGCGGTAGGTGGCGTTGTGTAGGGAGAAATCCTGAAATTTGTTTAGGCACATATCCTCAAGCCATTTCTCGCCCTTGTGATCTTTTGACCAAAAGTCCGTCATTGACTGAAGGTTTCCCAGGAATGAATCAAATCCTCTGCCCAGGGGTGTATGCTCCGGAGTGGCAAAGCCCACGTCCCACTTGCCGACAAAGTGGGTAGCATAGCCAGCTTCCTTCAGCTTGCTCCCGAGGCCTGTCATGTTCCGCGGGATTCCGTAGAAGCCGGAGACATTGTCTTGCGGGTTCCAGAACATCTGTGGTGTCGAGATGCCTGCAGGCGAAGGTGGGAAGCGATGAGACAGCCGGCCGCTGAGCAAAGAACACCTGGAGGGAGCCGACGTTGATGAGGTATAGTGCCTCTCCAAGAGCACCCCGTCCTTGATCAGAGCATCCAAGTTCGGAGTTTGTGTCTCGGCCTTTCCTTGCACCTCCGCGGGATTTCTGGCGGTGCGGTGGGCTCCCAAATCCGCCCAGCCCAAATCATCCGCGATGAAGAGGAGCACGTGGGGCTTCCGCGGCCCTTTCTGGAAACCCAGCTGCAGGAACTCCAGATTTGCCTCGCACTCCTCACACAAAGCAGAAGGCGCAATGTGAGGGCTTTTTCCGTGAGGCAAACGATTGGGGTCAGGAAGCACAAGCCACACTTTGCAGAGGATGCTTTGCAGGCTCAACAAAAAACGACCCCACCTGGCAAGGCTCACCTCGGCAAGGTCTTCAGGGCGTAGGGTTTAGGATTTAGGGTTTAGGGTTTAGGGCTTAGGGCTCAGGGCGTAGTGCTCAGGGCTTGGGGCTTAGGTGAAAGGAATAGAAACAAGAGCCAGTTAACTCTGGAGTTAGTGTTCTGGTACTTCTGGGGTGGTTCCACCCCCTCTCCAGGGAAGTAGATGAAACGCCTGCAAAGGGTCATGGAGCAGACCGTTAACTCTGGACAGCCACTCCTTGGTGCCCTAAACCCCAAACCCTAAACCCTAAACCCTAAAACCCAAACTCTAGACCCCAAACCCTACACCCTAAACCTTGCTGATTGCTTCCCTTGCTTTCGGTCTTCGGTTCCATTGCTGGCTCCCTCGGTCGAAGATTTTGCGCACATTTGAAGCTACAATGACGGAATGTGATCATAAAATAGTAGTATAAGTATCGAAGAACAGAATAGTATGATGATAAAAGAATGCAGTAATCTAACAACAGAAAAATACAACCATCTAACAACAGAACGATATGATAAAAGCCCTGTGGCTGCTGGTGGTCTTCTGGGCCTTGGCCTGGTTTCTGCTGCCCTCTTCTTGGTTTGAGGGCCATAAGTGTCTAAACGAAGCAGTCCCTAGATTCACCTGCTTCCGGAGGTTTCATGAAGTTTGGGAGCCGAAGGGAAGTACCGAAAACCGCATCAATTTTTGGAGATATCTGTTGTTGAAGACCCCAAACAAGCATAGGGGGTTGCTTCAAGGTAGATATGAAGAGACCCACAAACCCATATCAAAGACAACACTTATCTCTGCTGGCTTCAGTTGTTTCCGGACAAAGACAGACAAAAGCTTTGTAGTTTTGGAACCTGAGCGATGTACCGATAGCTGGCTCTTTTCGTGGGAACACTGAAAACAAGTATCTCTGGGAGCCATAACCCGACACAAACATAGCGACGGCTTGCTCAAGACCCAAACACGTAAGTCTGGAGTGGATTCCGTGCTCCGCGGTAATTCACTGCGAGAACAGTTAGATCCAGAGCGAGTTGCTTCTGAAGACCGACCACCTCCAGCATAAAACCCTGCAAACAAAAGCTGGATTTAATTCTTTCACGTCCTGTGGGTTCGGACCCGACCCCCGCCGGGCGATCAACTCCTGATATAAAGCCGAAGTAAACTATTGTCAACTCCGGCTTCCATGCCTAACGCTGTCTGAGGCACCCCGGCCAAGGACGAGAAGCCAGCTGGCACGGACCTCGCACATGAGAACATCTCACAGGGGCCCTCAAGGGGACTGATGCCAGCAGTGCGCTGAGAGCCGAGCCACGAGAGCACATGAACCAAGCCTCCTCATCTCGACGGGCCCTGGCTCCCTTTGAGCCACGCTTGCCGGTGATCACAGCATTTCCATCACAGCGCTCGCTGCGCTCACAGTGTTCAGGCCCCACACTTAGGAATGGGATTGCAAAAGCCCAGTTTTGAGAGCCAGCCTAGCTCAGACCATGTCAGACTGCACGAAACAGCACCGTGCAGCTGCTTTCTCCCAACGCTGTCTGCGTCAACGCTGTCTGCATCTGGTTCCACGCTATTTTGCATGGGGGAGGGAGCAGCTATGGCCAAAGCACCCATGCCGATTCAGAAGTGGGCTTTAGTCATCTGAAAGAGATTCGGCCCACTCGCATTGTTGTAGCACTCCTGGCACGCTTCGTGGGAGACGTTGAAGGAGAGCAACCTCGCACGAAAGATGTCCAAGGCGGTTGCATAGACCACGGCATCCACATCATCATGCCAACCGAGTAGCTCAGACGGGTCGTAGTCTCTGTGTGCAGTCTTATTAGCAAAGCTTGGGCGCGTGTCTACGAACTCCGCAGCATGGCAGGCGCCCCCAAACATCCTGTGGAAGAGGCACACAGACAGTTCCCACTCTTCCGTGATGCCCACAAAAGAGAAGCCTTCCCGCACCCTACGAGCAGCTTCGACCGCGTCTTCGCGCGTCATTCGGGTGCGGTTGGGGTCCAATGTCTGCGTTTCCGGCTGCTCGACCAGAAGCTGATACGTCATACCGCCTTTCCACGACTCAGCAAAATCCAGGATATGCCTTTTCGGCACCTCCTGCCCGAAGTAAGTACAATTCCGGACGTCAAGATCTTCGTGCAAGAACTCAGCGTAATCGACGGCCGCCAAATTGTTGACATCGTCATGAAAACCGGAAAGTATTCGTTGGTCAGGATCACGAAACATACCCATTAGCCGGCCACGTTTCGCTGAGTACTTGCCGACTGTGGGGTGCGGCTCATATGCCACATGCCCGAAAGGCATGACCTTTTTCACATCGCAAGCCGCCTGGCAATAGTATGTGTACCACTTTATGAGCCAGCAGTCTCCAAACAAGTCCGGGCCAAGGGTGATGTTCATCATAGGCGGGCAGACGCCTGGCAGGTGCGTGATCATGTTGATGAAGGAGCTTCCAGCCTTGGGGAAATGCAGCCAGGAGATAGGCTGTGTTGCTCTGAGGCGCTGCTGCGGAGGATCCCATGGGCCATCTAGGAGCATCTGGTGCTGCAGTAGCTCTGTGCTTATCAAAGCCTCCATCTCAGAACCATGCGCCGCGACCCAAAGCGCCAGACACCGCAACAAAAGCGGCATGGGGCCGAATCTCCGGCTGCAACTACGAAGTGTACGGTGATGATTACCAACACCATTACTGCGAGTCCTAACGAAATTTTGCTGTACTATACTTCGTTTCGATAACTGGTTCGGTACGGTTTCGAGCTCAAAGCCACAAACAAGCCTGGTCCTCACTCTTCCGAACTGTCTGCACAAACTGGCGTGAAACGAAGGCTCTCCACTTCGCTGTCATGAGGGAACCTCGTCTGACTAGGCCTTTGTGAACGGCCCCGTTTCACTCGGGTCCTAGCAAAACGATGAGATGTGCCCATGCTCTTATCCGTCGCGACATCCTACACACCAAAGGGATGCATTGAATCGGAAAACGGTTAACTTCAAGTCTATCGTGAAGTGGTTTGGGGGTTGGACGGTCTTGGTGGCACGAGGCCGGCATACTCCACACAAACCTAAACATCATGCTGTTGCGTCCTGCCACTTCGCGGGGGTGCCTCAACAGTTGCCAAAAACCAGCAGCCAAAGGAAGCACCGCAGACCGGACAGTGAGACGCGTACGCGTGGCCTTTGCGCGCCCTAAAGTTCTGAGGCTACCAACGAAGCCTGTCGAAAATGCCGGAGAATGTAAGAGCAGACATCAGACTCTGGGCCATGGGCCCACAGGCCACTTCAGACCGGCGATGGATCTGTGTATACTCTAGTACCAAACAACACACTGCACAAAATGGCACTGTATAAAATTCAATGGTGTCTCTATACTACAAATGCAATTTCTGGGGAGGCCCTCTTGGGCGACGCCAGTTCAAACACTTTTTGGAGCTTCAACAAGAGTCACCAAAACACCAGTTTCAAACCTCTACTGGCAGTGAAGGTGCTGGAAGCTTCCTTGCTTTCCTTCGCATTTCTCGCTGTAAAAATTGACACTTTGACCCCACCAAAGTTCCAGATCGAGCCAAAAGGGTGTCTCAACACCACAAATTTTGCTAAAAGGTGTCTTAAAACTTTTTGACAGAAACCCAAAACTTTGAGGGTGTCTTATCTTAGTACCAAGGTGCAGATCGAGGGAAAGAGTGTCTCAACACCACTTGCAGAACACAAATAAACCAAAAAAGAGTGTCTCAAGACCACTATAAAAACCAAAAAAACTTTTTGAACTAAAGGGTCTCAACACCAATTTTGAGAAGTCCAGATCGGGTGTCTTAACACCACTTGGAGAAGCTTAAAGGTGTCTTAACACCACTTCAGCAGAAAATCTTTTGAACAGACTTTGAAGCAAAAATGTCTTTAACACCAATCTCTGAGGATTTGCCGGAATTTGCAAAGTCGACAATAAACAGAAATGTCCAAAAACCATTAAAAACAGGCCCTGACAAAAACAAACACATGTCAGATGTACCGGTGTGCTCGCACTTATTCACATTGTGGAAAGACACTTTGCCTTTTCAAAACGGTTTGGTTTGGGCGTCGCGTGCAACATTATCGTCTTAGTAATGCTTGGAACTCGTTGTCCTGCAGTTAATTTCTGTCCAAAACGGGGCACTGTTAGAGGCATTCAAAAACGCTTGTTTTAAGCCAGCAAAAAGTCTAGTTGCCTGCATGAGAGTGCACTGACCAAAACAAAGTTTTTACGGCTCCACTTTGCAGGTAAACCATTGCGAAACTGGCTACTGCAAGGGCCTCCCTGTCACTTGTGAGCAACCGTCTCCGATGAACCTGAGTAACCGAAAAATGCCCAGCAACACTGACGAATTCTTGAATATGCACTCAAGGTGTTGTCCGTAAAGGTGCAGCCAAAGAAAGGGCAAGAAGTTGATGTGGAAAGAGTGAAAGGGTAGAATCGACAGATGTCGCGCAAAAAACAGATCGATCCGTGCAAGAAGCTTCTTGCAAGGCAGCCTTAATGCTGAGAGGCCACACAAGTAGCAAGGAAGCCTACTTGCAAGCTCTATGGCATCCAAGCTGCAGCATGCCCATTCAAGAGGAGTCGGAAGGCCGTAGGAAGAGGCTCCGTGGACCTTTAAGTAGGTCGGTCGGCCTTACCAGATGGTAGGCGTAGGTGTGCAGTTTGAGGCTCTGAGGGAGTCAGTCTTTTCCTGCCGAGTTTGCGTGTGGATTGGAACTGCTGCTTGGCTCCTTGCAAGAAGCCTCTTGCAAGTCCAAGAAAACCTCTGCTCTTCGCGAGTGCATAACAAGCTCGCTGTTTTGTTGCCCAAAAAGATTGAACCTCGCAAGATTGCACTTTCGTTGCGTTTCTTGCCGCTGCTCGGCAGCAGTTTAAGAGGCCGAATACTCGCTGGGCCTTTTGTGGAGGGTTTGGGCAGCAGTTTAAGACGTCTAAGAGGCTTAATACCTGCTGGGCCTTCGGTGGAGGATTTAGGCAGCAGTTTAAGAGGCCTAATGCGAGCATCGTGTTTGCAAATGGGGGGGGCTGCGCCCCCCCCAACCCCCCCGCGGCTTGTTTAAGCCGGGCAAACTCGCGTGGATGCTCAAAACAAAACAAAACATGGGGTTCTCGGCTTAGCCCCGCGCCACGTCACTGCTATGCAAATGGGGGGGGCTGCGCCCCCCCCAACCCCCCTTCAAAGGGGTCCCTGCAAAGGGGGTCCCTTCGGGGGGGGGGGGCAAAGGGTCAAAGCCCTTAAGCCCCCCCTTAAGCCCCCCTTAAGCCCCCCCTTAAGCCCCCCCCTTAAGCCCCCGCTTAATGAAATTTTACAAGATCAATGTTCACAGACTGGCTTGATCACACAATCCAGGATACACAAGATGCACAGCAAAGTCACTTGATGCAATCACTCACTCAGCAATCTTGTTTGTGCCGCCTTGAGCCAAAGCATCGAGTCAATGCTCATGTTGAGCATGTCGCTGTGCCAATGCTTCTCTTGAAGCATGCCAATTGTGACCTTATATTCTAACACGGTCCCTCAGCAGAGACACTGTTTGTCTGTGCTGTTCTCCAGTCACAATTCAAATGATTTTGTAAAACAAAGATTCAATCAACCAATCAACGGAGTATGTCGAAAAAAATCTCAACTGCAAACGACTACCAATCAGCTCAGCAGTAAACAATGCACTCAGAGGCTCGGCTCAATCCTTTTGCTTTGCAAGCGAATCGCAATCGCTTCAAAAGAGAACTTGCAACGAAACCTGCAATGTTCTGTTGGCATACCGAATGCTCCAATGCATCCGAATCAATACACCACACGGAGTGGTCCTGAGAAACGGTCAGCAAAGTTTCCAATCGGGGTCCAATGAGCTGCAGCAAATGAAAACCACATCATCACCAATGAAAAGCATCAACTGTAAAACCAATCGTCGAAGCAATAACCAATCAAATGCAATCTCATCTTTCCAGGCCAGTCAAAATTGTTGGATGCCAATGAGGCATCAGTCCATCTGGTGGACGTTGAGGGCAATCCTCAATCGGCTGCCTCCGCTCGCGATCGTGAGCTCAGAGCTGCCAATCTGGCCTTCGCCAATGGCCCTTGCCACTGCGCTTCCAGCAATGGCCGACGAGCCAATGCCTGCGGTGCGTCCTGCACCAATCAGCTTGCTCAGGCGCGTCGGGACGGCAATGTGGCGGTGGAACGAGAACTGCTCCGTCGCTCCCAATTCAATCCGTCCAAAAGGGCCTTCAGTGACAATCGAGTGTCAACCACCATCGCAGTCAGCAGCTCAATCGGGTTCAAGCGGTAGTTGCCATCTTCAATGGCTTCCAAGATCAAGCAATGGCCACAGTAAGACTGGTTGTGCCAATGCAACAATCCGCCCTTTCCCGTGGCGGGGTTCTTCAAGACCGTGGGGAATCGGGACATCAATGGGTGGTACCCAATGATCCAGACATTCTCGTGCAATCCTGCCTCAATGGAGGGGACCTGATCGCACCACTGATGGAGCTTCACCAATGCCTGGTCAATGGTGGTAAAGGCATTTGCCTGACCACACGGAAAACCATCCAATGCAATGACACCGTCTGCCACCACGCTTCGCATCAATGACTCTGGCAATGCAAGGAAGAAGGGCATCGCCATCAATGAGCCATCCAGGATCATCTCACTTCCAATCTGCCAGTGATTGGACACAATGACCCAATTGCGAACTTGCAGCGTGCGAATGGTCAATGGGACCATTCCTTCCTGAGCAGTGACCAACGCCAATGGCAACCCATGTTGGACTGCACCAATGCGCATTCCAGCCTGCGCACTGTAAGCGACAATGAGCCACGCCAATCCCACGGAAGGACCAATGCCCGCTGGACTGGGCCAATCCTCCGTTTTGAGGCAGTTCGCGTACGATCCAAGCCTCAATGGATTCAATCCAGCTTGTGGCTCCAATGTCTTGAGGCTGGCATTGTTGAGCAGCACTCCACCGATGCAATGCTCAATCAATCTCATCCTCACCAAAAGCGCCTTCGCTGTGTCGATGTCAATTCCAATCCGCCGAACGATCGGGAGGCATGCTGTCTCTGTGGGGAGCAATGCCAATGCATCAGACAGGATCTCCTGCAATGCCCTGTATTGCATCGCGCTTTCGTTCAGGAGGCGCTCGCAATCGTCTTTCAACTGGTCTAAGCCAGCCAATGGGACGATCGGGGCAATCACACCTGCGGGGACGGCCATGGTTGCCAATCTACGGATTGCAGAAAGGACAGTGCTCAAAAGGCGCAATGCACACAATGCTCTAGGCTCCGAGACCCGAATGAGTGATCGCAATGTGACGCAATGTGAGCCACAGTTCAGCGTGATCAATGCTTCAAAATTTTCAGAAAACCAATTCTTCATGCAACCCGCTCACTGGAAAATCAATTCAGGGTTTCGGGCTTTATGTACAATGACAGTCAGAAGGAGCAATTTGTTCAATTGCAATGCTTGACGGTCCCTTGTTTGCCAATGTCGTTTCAATGGCTGTCGTCCGCTCAATAGCGGACTAGCTGCGCACCCAACCGCAATGCGTTCACTGCGGTCGCTCTTATCCGCAATGCGGTTGACGGCGGTTGAGCGATGCTCTTAAAGTCAATCTTAAACACA